AAGAAGAAGAAGAAGAAGAAGAAGAAGAAGAAGAAGAAGAAGAAGAAGAAGAAGAAGAAGAAGTGATGAGCCGGGTGGTGGTGGTACATCCTTTAATCCCAGCACTCAGGAGGCAGAGGTAGGCGGATCTCTGTGAGTTTGAGACCAGCCTGGTCTACAGAGTGAGCAGAGTGAGATCCAGGATAGGATCCAAAGCTACACGAAGAAACCCTGTCTCAAAAAAAAACAAACAAACAAACAAACAACAACAACAAAAAAAACCACCTGGCCAGGCCAGGTTTTGTGTGTGTGTGTGTGTGTGTGTGTGTGTGTGTGTGTGTGTGAGAGAGAGAGAGAGAGAGAGAGAGAGAGACAGAGACAGACTGACAGGCAGGCAGGCAGACAGACACAGATCTCAGGCTCTTGCCTAACGTCTCGGGGTGTAGAAGTTTTGAAACATGTTTTCTTTACGCGTGACAAACAAGAGTTAGGGAGGTATGGGCAAGAGCTAACTAAACCTTACCAAACCTCTCTTAGGATAGCAATCAGCACTTCTAACAGCTTAGCCTTACCATAGGGTCCTGTCAGATTGCAACCGGAGTTGGGGTTACCGAGGTCGTACTGAACTCAATAAAGCAAAGGCGAGGCTAAGAGCAGACTGGGACCAGGAGTGCTTTCCAGTGCCTCGCTGGGTCCGCGGCCTGCTCTCCCCTTGACCAGGCCCCGACCTTTCGTACCATCTCCAGCCTTAGTGCCCTCGCAGTAGATAGCAAGAGGGGCTCACTCACCCTTGTGACAGTGCGAAAGGAAGTAGGCGCGGGCTTTCAGGTTCTCCCGGTCAAAGCGGTCAATAGAGATGGTTGGATATTCCACCATCTGTCCCTGGAAGGAGCTCATAGCGCCAGGAAGGCTAGCCCCTAAGCCCGCCGCGGAAGCCGAGATGCACACTGACCCTGGGTGCCGCCACTTCCGGGAACCTGTGCACCGCCTCCCATAGGCCGGTCGAGCCCAGCCACGGCCAATCAAAGGAGCCTTGCGGCTGGGGGCAGAGCCAAAAACATCCAGTCCTGTCCCCGCGTCCCAGAACTCTCGGTTTAAATAACTGCAACAGCTGCGCACTAGCTCAAGTACAACCGTGAACAGGCACCAACAGACTCTATTAACGAAGAGTCGGAAGTCGTTTTCTCATCCTGCCCTCGTGGTTATCCTGCAAAATACAAACTGGGAGAAGAGGAAAAAAGGAAAAAGACCCCGATCTTCTGTTGACAAGAGAAAATGCAAGGCTCTCTGAGCGTGTCGCTATCTCACAGCAGGTCACTGGAGAGTCGCGTTCCTGCCAGAAAGCAACAAAGGAAACCAAAAGTGTTTGGTGCACTGGTGCAGAGCTGCCCGCATCTGTGGAGTAATCGATGCAGGAAATAAAACACAGCTGGAAATAGTGGCCAGGGAGCTTCCCCTTTTCTAATAACACTGCCTTTCATTTCCTCTTGTCAACAGAAGATCGAGTTTTTCCCTTTTTTCCCTCTTTTCCCAGTTTGTATTTTACAGGATAACCACGAGGGCTGGATGAGAAAACGACCTCTGACTCTTCGTTAATAGAGTCTGGTGGTGCTTGTTCACAGTGTGCATAAGCTAACTATGTCTCGAAGGCTACAATTCAGACGTAGATTCTTAGAGGAAAAGAAAAATAAAAGTAAAGATCCTGTTGATCCGCTAGCCTCCAGTAATCATTGGAGCTGTATTTTTAGGAAGCCAGAAGGATGTCTATAAGGAAAGGGAGGGAGAGGACGATGTTTGGGAAAGGTCATGGTAACACTAATAAGATCCACCAAAGACTTTTTCCCAGTGGTCTTTATTGTCTCCTTCTTAGCAAGTTCTTCTTAGACGCTGTTGTTCACAAACAACCGGAACCTCCAAATCTTGCTATGCTGAACACTTCGACAAGCCTTATGGAGGTGGGAAGGAAAATTCCCAAAAGGGCAGGGAGCCAATTACCTTATCTGGGGCTACTTCTCACCCTTGGAAATGGCCATTCCTTGTCCACCTCTGTGCTGGAATTAACCTCTTGTGACTAACAGATGAGAACCTTTTTGATCTATTAATCTAGCGGACCACTAGTTTCCACCAACCCAAAAGCTAAGAATGTTGTCAGACAGTACCTTGGGCCTATACAAGAGCTTCCCCACCTTCTCTGTATCTGCCTCTCTGGTGTGTCCAGAATTGTTGTTGTTGTTGTTTTGTTTTGTTTTGTTTTGTTTTAAGAGATGGGTTCTCTGTGAAACAGTCCTGCTGTTCTGGAACTCACTCTGTAGATCAGGCTGTCCTTGAACTCACAGAGATCTGCCTGCCTACTGGGATCAAAGGTATGTACCACCACTGCTCAGCCCAGAAATGCATTTTAAACATGCCTTGATTTATGACTTTCTTTGTTATATAATACTTCACAAAGTTGTTTCCACATTGGAAAATAGAACTTAGGGTGACCTAAGTCTCTGTTCCTGGCCCATGGTCACTTAAAAGAACTCCAAATAAATGCTTCTTCCCTGTGAGATGAGAGCTATGGGTCCACAGCGGTTACAGCTGACTAAGATACACCTTCAGAGTTCAGCACACTCGAAAAACCACGGAAGTGAAGAATATGCCAAACACTATTTCCCAGAGAGAGAAGTGATCCCGGAATAATGCCAGGAATAAGTTATGAGGAGACAGGCCATAATGCCACGATCAGATAATATTTGCTTGCTCTTGCAGCCATAACAGTTCCATTCCCATACAGATTTTCATAAAGAGGAATTGGGGGAAGAGGGAAGGCGGGCAGTGGAGGGAAGTGGTCTAGACATAGTCACTAACTTACACATTTTACCACAGCAAAACTGACAAAGCCTTGGTTTTGTATAAGATGGTCTGTCTTAGAATAACGGGGACTATTGCTATGGCTGGGTTGCCCATATAGAACAATAGATTCTGCATTGAGTCTGGTTATCCACAGTATTGTTCCTAAGTTGAAACTCCTCAAGAGGAAAGGCAAAATAAGGTTCTTATTCTTGTTTATTTGTTCACTTCTTTCCTCTTTATCATGTATGCAGTAGGAAATGGTGGTGGGAATCAAATTATCAGTGTAAGTCATCAATGTAAGCAGCATGTACACTTAGATTCTTACAGCTTAACTTTTCCACTCAAGAATCTTTCCTTTTACAAGTTTTTACACAACACCAAACACATATGACACAGGCAATCAAACCCAACATTTGCTTATAAGAAATCGTAAAGAGATCTATGACTGAAAGCAATTCTTTGGTATGGTGTTGTGTGGCACAATAGCGTGTGTAATGCAGAGTGTGTGTGTTTTATGTTTAAAATGGAGACTGCCGGGTATAGTGGCACAAAGCAGAGGCAGGCGGATGGATCTTTGTGTAATTGGAGCCGGCCTGGTCTCCACAGCAAGATCCAGGTCAGTCAGAACTACACAGTGAGACCCTGTTTCAAAACGACAACAAACTCTAGAACAGAGATTTCGGGAAACTATGCAATTTGACACAGATGCACCTTGGTACAATCACCTGGAATTGATCAAGTGTTTGCTTTTGAGTTTATTTTTGACCATCGTGGGCTCAGATTTTTTTTCCTTTTCTTACAAAAACAAGGCAGGGAAAAAAGGCATGAAGGGTGGAAGTGAATTGCTGGGATGTCTGTGGAGTGTGGGAGGAAGGGCTGGATGTGGATATAATCAAAATACGTTGTCCATGGCTGGAGGGACAGCTGAGACGTTGAGACTTCATACTGCTCCCGCAGGGAGATCAAGTTCAGTTCTCATGTCTCATATTGGGTGTCTCAAAAATCACATGTCATTCTAATTCCAGGGGATCCCATGCCCCAGGCCTCCAGAAGTATCCACATTCAGATACACACACACATACATACACACACACACACACACACACAGAGACTTAAAAATACTGTTTACATGTACAAAATCTATATGAAATAATGCACAGCTCCCAGGAACGGAACCAAAGAAGCTGCTGTCATATTCCAGGAAATCTGATGGTCAAAATTTATTCATTTCTTCAACAAACAGTGACCCACTCTCTATCATGTTACAGACCCTGAGCTAAACACTAAGGCACGGTGTTGGCAAGTAAAGTAGTCAAAAAAACCTTTGTTTGTAGACTGCTGTAGTTTATCACTGTCCCTTGTGTGGGTCCAGATGCCGTCAGTGTTCTGTATTTCACTTTCACAGCAACCCTAGCAGAGAGGTTCGTTTTTGTTATTTAAGATTGTGGAAGTTGTTATGGAAATTGTACAAGGTCACGTTCTCAATAAGCAGAGTCCATATTTACATTCAAGGCCACTGTGTTCTGAAGAACCTCCCGCATAACTCCCTTGTCATCCTGCTTCCTTCATTGCGTCAGAGCGGAACCAGCAGCAGTGCTGTGGTGAAATGCATGTTTTCATCCTAAGCATCCTCTGTTTGCATCTACTGCACGCTAGGAGCTGTTAGGCCATCTGTGATCCAGGACTACAGAGGAAGACAGCAAATCTGAATGGGTAGTATGCAAATCTCTGAGAGGTTTCTTGTTGTTTTGTTTTGTTTTTACTGAGAATAAAATAGAAAGCTATTGCAGGGACCCGAGCCAAGCTCAAGACTGACATATTTGACTTAGGTTTTAAGTGGGGTGTGCTGACTATTGTGTTGAGTGGAGGTGAGGAGAGATGCTGGGAATTACTGTAATCACAAGAGAAACTGCAAAAATATGGCTTTTTGGACTTACATGGAGCTCTCAAAGACAACAGGTCTCGCTGATGGGTGGACTAAGAGAAACAGAGAGCACCGGGCAACAGCTATTCAAAGTGGAAGATGTGGAAGCAGCAGAATTTCCTTTGTTTGGGGGAAGAGGTTGGCTCTGGATGTAGAGTACAAATTGTACAGATAAATCTAAAATTCAGAGGTATATCTTGGCTAAGGAAATTAATCTGGGAGTTATAAATAGATCCTTTTTATTTTTAGTATTTAGTGACTCTTTAAAAAGAATTTTGCAGAATTTAACCTGTGTGTGTGTGGGGAGGGGGGGACAAGGCTTGTGTTTACCTGGCTCACAAAATTCTTACATTCTGGGAATTTTCAGTGAACTGGCTCTCACTCATCGTCCTTTTCCCTTTCACCCTCTACTTATTAGCAAATCATCATGGCTCTCCACTCAAAAATACCGACCTTGAATCACTTTTCACCGAAATAGGTGATATATTAAGTGTTAGTGAAGATGCTGTTGGGAAAATAAAGCTATAGATGTTAGTTAACTTTCATTTAGTCATTACCAGACACCATGGCGGATGGATTACTTGAATCTATACACACTGACAGTAATCTTTTATCAGGATCCAGAACCTCTGCGATCTCTACTCTCTCAAAGGCTTTCATATAACGCCTCTGAGTCTCCGCCTCATCGCAGCAGTGAACAGTTCCCAGCTGGTGCATTCCACTGTACAGAACACAGATCTCCTTGCCCAGTCTAGCCCTTAAAGTGCACACTAACACCAAGAGCAGGGGGCGGGGCATGAAGGAGCCGGGCGTGGCCTACGTGAGCGGGCGGAGTGGCGTCACTGCGTTGCTAGGAGACGAGCCGGCGGCAGCGGCCGCAACAGTTGGCCCCTGGCTGACTCAGCCCACAGATCCCGAGTAGAGAACGCGAGCACCGCAGCACCCTCCAACGAGGCCGGCTGAACCAGGGTAACCGCGGATAGCGGGAGCCGCGCCTGAGCGGATGGGCAGCGAGGACCCGGGCCCTGACCACCGTGCCCCTGGCTCCGTCCCGCCCCGGGAGCGCAAGCCCCGCCCCTTCCGCCCGGCCACCCTGGTATCTGGGTTTTCTGTCTTTTAGGGCGGGTCTTTATTTGGCCCTCCCTACATCTTCGGAGCGGCGCCCCAGCTAAACTCTTCTGCTTCCCGAGGCAGCTCTTGTAAAGGCTCTTCCATTTAATGCCTGGGTTCAGAGGACTGTCTCTAGCCTTGCTTCTTCTGGACAAATTATACCTTACAGAAATCGTGATTTATGGCAAAAAGAAAGTGGTTTCTGGCAGACAGAACGCTCACTGTGGGAACGCTCTTAAGGGTGGCTTTAGGCTCCACAATCGCTAATTTGCACACCTGGGCTGTGGATCGACCATTGGGGAGTGCTTGGGGTTGGGGGCGGCACTTTGACTGGGTTCAGAAAATGGTGTTCTGTTTCGGACACAGTGTGAGAACTGGGTTCAGATTAACAGTCGCGTTCATTATCTTGGTCAAGGTTTACGTATAGTTTAAAGGGATCCTCAGTTATATTCTCCCACCTGCTTGGAGCACAGATATTGAATTAATGTGAGGAGAGTTGGGGCCGTTAGATTAGGCATGTTGTCATGTTGTGTTATTAGCGTTAAGGGACAATAGCTTCAGCGACAGCAGGCAGGATCGATCCCTAAAACACCCATCAAAGAGACGCTCAACGTGAAAAGGAGAGAAAGATGTAATTAAGGTGGCACATGGCCAAGAGCGATAAGGAAAAAGGTCCTGGGACCCAGGTTTGTGACATAAGCTTTAGGGTTAAGGAGAGGAAGAAACTAAGTAGGTCATAAGAGGGGGATGCATAACAAACCGTCTCATTTAAGTTGTGGGTTTCCTGTTGTAGAACTTGCGGTGACTGGCTACATCACAGGTGTCTGCTTTTACATTAGAGCCTTAATTTCGCAGGGACTTGAGTTTGGTGGCATATTTCCCCCCTCCCAGTATACTCATAGCCCTTCATAGTGCTTAATGAAATTCAGTTTCTAAAACGTAGATACTCAAGCATTGCCACTTCCTGTTTGTAGTGATACATATATGTATTATAGAAAATATGTATTATATAATATTTTTTCATTCACTATTTTAAAATGCTATGCATAGGTATTCTTATGTGAGCAAAACTAGAAAATGACTGTTTTTACACAGCCTTACAAAAACAGAAATACATACACACACACATATATATATATATATATATATATAGTTGTTATTGTGGTAGTGTCTTCACAGAGTAAAAATTAACAAAAAAGTATTCATTTCACAAAAGGTTGAGGATTCTTTTTTCCTGGCAACAAGTCTAATATTGAAAAGCATTGATATTTGTATATTCTTTACATCTGATGACATTGTTAGTCTTGCTTTGCAGTTATGAATTTTAAAACAACTTTGTGCTATTTCAAAGATTCACTCATTCTTTATGAAAGGCAGTAGCATAAAATGGATAAAAAAAAAACCCAACATGCCTCACCAAAAATATTTGGGAGAATAGCCATTTTTAAAGAAATATCAGGCCTGAACATCACCATTAATCAGAGGAGAAGACAGTTAAGTAATATCCCCAATTTATTAGCACACATTTATAACAGCATTCTATAAAACTAGGTGTGATACAAATGCCTGAAACCCCATCTCTTGGGATGTGAAGCCAGGAGGATCAGAAGTTCAGGATCATACTCAGGAGTTCGAGCCCACCTTTGGAGACCCAGTGTCAAAATAAGTGTCTTCTGGTTACAAACAAATTTATACACAAACCTCTTGCCTGGAATTTTACAAATCACATCTCTAGCATAATAATAATGCCCACTGGTAAATTTCTCGCGCTTCCCTGTAGGCACTGTTTTCTCATTCTCCTTACTTTTGTGCACCCAGTTAGACTATGAGCTTAAGTGCCCCTGCTTAAGTTTTGGATCAATCCATCCAAAAGCAGCGGTGAGCATCCTTACCCAAGAGAAGGTCCAGCAGCAGCGCCACATTTGGATTTGCTCGTGGGCCCCTGGCTGTTCCCAGGTCAGCTCTCTGCTTGTTGGCTCCCTTCATACTACTATGTACAGCTTTAGCAGGAGCTGGGGTTGCAGACTACAGGGATTCTGAGGTCATCTGCACTGCTCGTCAGCTGTGACTTTCTTACTCATCTATTCGTGACTTGACAATGAAATATTTTGAAGGAACTCCAGAAGATTCCACTGAACTTCCTCAAAAAAAAAAAAAAAAAAAAAGACCTGCTTAAAAAAATACCTTGATGGAGACTCCAAACCCTCTCCTTGAAGCGTTGAGTGTGGTGGGATGCACACCGGTCATGCTGAACACTTTTCTTTCCTAGACTACCCAATGGAGACCTTGCTCTGTGGACCATAGTAAGGATCATAGACTATCCCGTGGCCATCTTACTCACGTCCCTAACTCTCCAGGGCTGCAGCCTGGTGTCTTTCTCAGGTTTTATCTGGAATGGTTGTGATATATTTTATCATCCGGACTTCAACAAGATGCACTTGTGTCCTAGCATGTTAAGTCTGGTCAGTAATTCCTCCAACAGTTTCTGTAGTTTTAACTGTTTCATGGAAACTCGGGTTTGGCTCAATTCCTGGGGAAGAAGTTTCCTGTATGCTAAACTGCACTTCCATCTATGTTTGCTCCTTGGCCAAATGAGCCGCTTCTGGATCTAGCTATATATCTTTCCGGTAAACTTCATAATCAACCAAGGAACACTTGGCTGCCATAGTTTCTTCCACCGTCTGATTTGTTGATCTGTATGGCTTGGTTTACAAGTTCATTCGGGGTGCTCGCTTCTGCAGCACATATACTAAAATTGGAACGATACAGAGAAGATTAGCATTGCCCCTGCGCAAGGATGACACGCAAATTCGCATATTTTTAAGACCCAACCAAGAAAGAGAATTACAGGCCTATCTCACTCATGAATATTGACGCAAAAATTCTCAATAGAATACTGGCAAACCGAATCCAAGAACACATTAGAAAAATTATCCATTATGATCAAGTAGGCTTCATCCCAGAGACGCAGGGCTGGTTCAACATACGCAAATCTATCAATGCAATCCACCATATAAATAAACTGAAAGAAAAAAAAACATATGATCATTTCATTAGATTCTGAAAAAGCATTCGACAAAATTCAACACCCCTTATGATAAAGGTCTTGGAGAGATTAGGGATACAAGGGTCATACCTAAATATAATAAAAGCTATCTAAAGCAAGCCAACAGCTAACATTAAATTAAACGGAGAAAAACTCAAAGCCATCCCACTAAATTCAGGAACACGACAAGAATGTCCACTCTCTCCATACCTCTTCAATTTAGTGCTTGAAGTTCTAGCATTAGCAATAAGACAACATAAGGGGATCAAGGGGATTCGTATTGGAAAGGAAGAAGTTAAGCTTTGGTTATTTGCAGATGATATGATAGTATACACAAGCGACCCCAAAAACTCCACCAAAGAACTCCTACAACTGATAAACACCTTTAGTAATGTGGCAGGATACAAGATCAACTCCAAAAAATCAGTGGCCTTCCTATACACTAAGGATAAGTAAACAGAGAGGGAAATCAGAGAAGCATCACCTTTCACGATAGCCACAAATAGCATAAAATATCTTGGGGTAACTCTGACCAAGGAAGTGAAAGATCTATATGACAAGAACTTTAAGTCTTTGAAGAAAGAAATTGAAGAGGACACCAGAAAATGGAAGGATCTCCCCTGCTCTTGGATTGGGAGGATCAACATAGTAAAAATGGCAATTCTACCAAAAGCAATCTATAGATTCAATGCAATCCCCATCAAAATTCTTCACAGATCTGGAGAAGACAATAATCAACTTTATATGGAAAAACAAAAAACCCAGGATAGCCAAAACAATCTTATACAATAAAGGAACGTCTGGAGGCATTACCATCCCTGACTTCAAACTCTATTACAGAGCTACAGTATTGAAAACAGCTTGGTATTGGCATAAAAACAGAGAAGTCGACCAATGGAATCGAATAGAAGACCCTGACTTTAACCCACAAACATATGAACACCTGATTTTCGATAAAGGAGCTAAAAGTATACAATGGAAAAAAGAGAGCATCTTCAACAAATTGTGCTGGCAAAACTGGATGTCAATCTGTAGAAGAATGAAAATAGACCCATATCTATCACCATGCACAAAACTCAAGTCCAAGTGGGTGAAAGACCTCAATATCAGTCCAAACACACTGAACCTGATTGAAGAGAAAGTGGGAAGTACTCTACAACACGTGGGCACAGGAGACCACTTCCTACGTATAACCCCAGCAGCACAGACAGTAAGGGCCTCATCGAATAAATGGGACCTCCTGAGACTGAGAAGCTTCTGTAAAGCAAAGGACACTGTCGCTAAGACAGAAAGGCAACCCACTGACTGGGAGAAGATCTTCACCAACCCCACAACTGACAAAGGTCTGATCTCCAAAATATATAAAGAACTCAAGAAACTAGACCGTAAAAGGCTAATCAACCCAATTATAAAATGGGGCACTGAGTTGAACAGAGATCTCTCAACAGAAGAAGTTCAAATGGCCAAAAGACACCTAAGGTCATGCTCAACTTCCTTAGCGATCAGGGAAATGCAAATCAAGACAACTTTAAGATACCATCTTACACCTGTCAGAATGGCGAAAATCAAAAACACCAATGATAGCCTTTGCTGGAGAGGTTGTGGAGAAAGGGGTACACTCATCCATTGCTGGTGGGAATGCAAACTTGTGCAACCACTCTGGAAAGCAGTGTGGAGGTTTCTCAGGAAATTTGGGATCAACCTACCCATGGACCCAGCAATACCACTCTTGGGAATATACCCAAGAAAGGCCTTATCATACAACAAAAATATATGCTCTACTATGTTCATAGCAGCATTGTTTGTAATAGCCAGAACCTGGAAACAACCTAGATGCCCTTCAATGGAAGAATGAAGAAAGTATGGAATATATACATATTAGAGTACTACTCAGCAGTAAAAAACAAGGACTTCTTGAAGTTTGCATACAAATGGATGGA